TTAAGTTTGTACAATGAAATTCAGAGTCACTTAAATACAAGTATAAAATGGAGAAGCTTTTTTTGTTTCAATGTTCTCAATAGCCTCTTAAAAAGGTTGATATTATTGGCCAGTTTTACACTTGTAGGTAATCCATTCCACAGCTGCGCACACATTTAAGTGCAAGATTTTTTCAAAAAATTTGAATTAAATTAAGTTGTTGCAGGAAACCAACGCAGGCGCATACCAGCGGTTACCGTATCAAAATAATTTTTTTCGGAACACGCGCAGACATAATGCTACTTCTGCGTACATTTCTTTTTTTAAACAATTGCAGAAACCTGGTGGATGACTAGCGACAAATCCTTTTTTTTTGGCAAATTCGAGAATTTGCCGATTTATAGATTCGATTATTTTTTTTGAAAAAGATTTCAGAAGTTTGTTTTAAAGCTTTACCAGTCGTTTTTTTAAATGTCATCTGGTTAGCTATCGTTACTTCTGTCTCCACCATTTTTTTTTCACCTACCATTGTGATTACAGGTTTGTAACTACAGGCCTTTTTTTTACCGTTGCTTTACTCTCCGTTGCACAGTTGTGCTTTTTAGTTTTTTTTTTTATTCTAATATAAGGGATATTCACCATATGTGTTACAAGTTTTTTTAAGTTAGAACGAATTTATTTGGCGAAGGACTCTAAACTCTCTTTTTTTTGATAAATTCGAGCATAGTTAACGAATAATAAAGTAAAATTTTTTTTTTTAGAACAATGTTAATGCGATCTTTATTCGTTATTTCTGTGTTTTTTTCTGAATGGCCACAAAAATATGAATTTATCCAATACGTATTATTTTTTTTTTCTTAGAATCTGATCGAATTTCTTTATCGGGAAAACATTTTTTTTTTCTGAAGAATAATTACAAAAGAATTAAAACTTTTGACTTAATTTTTTTCATCTTAATAGGATGATAGATATAGGCAAGTGTTAACCAAAGTTTGTGCGTCAAGTGATAACCATTACTGGTTTCGAGAAGTGAGTCAGTTTTTTTTTGTGAAAAACAGAATATATGATCTGTGCAGACTCTTTTGATTTTTTTATTTTCCAAGTGGGCTAAATTTTAAGGGGTAGTCTGTCTTGTTTTTTTTCTTTGACTTTTCTACAGACCTACCTTAAGTTTAATATTTTTTTTTTTATTTTTTTCCTTTCTTGTACTATTAATTTTCTATACAATCATTTTTTTTCAAAGCCAAAAAGTGTGATATAATTATATTCCTAGAAGGTGCTTCTGATTCTTTTTATAAGTTAGTTTGCTCACATATGCAACTGTATATATCATTTACATTGTTTCAAATGAGTCATTACAGGTGAAACAGTTACTTTTTTTGGTCTCTGAAGATTCTAAATCTTAAAATTTAGGTTCAAATTTTTTTTTGTAATACTAGTTCATGTGCACCTTGATGTAAAGATATCCTTTTTTTTTAAGTCAAACAGGAATTAAACTACTTCAGATCTGTGAGAACCTGTTCTAGCTAATCTTTTAATCACAGGAGCAAAGAAGGTACCGTATTTACCCGTGTATAAGTCGACTCGATGTATAAGTCGACCCCCGAAAATCCTTTTTTTTTGCCAATTTTATCGTATATCCTTTGTATAAGTCGACCCTAATTTTTTTGAATTATCAAGTATCTTTTAGGATGAAATGTGAGCGAAAGTCAAGGCTGAGAGAGGAAAAAACAGCAAAGATTCTTCACTTGTTATCGAGCGTGCCGCCATTTTGTTTGCTGAGCAACCTCCCCTGCTTCTCATTCCAGGCACTGGTAACAAGCCACAACAATTTTCTTTAAAAACTTTGTTACAATTTATTAAAACTTTTAAAAAACAATGCGATTATATTGATTTACTATTTAAAGAATAAAGATTTAATGTCTCAGAAAACTAATTAAAATCCATCAAAATCTTCCTCATCGCTATGTCCAAATAGTTCATTCCATTGATTTTCAGTTAGTCTGTCATCATACATATCTTCCTCGTCGTTCATCTCTGGTTCGTCTTCTTCCTCGGCCGGCTCATCCCAAATAAGGTCATCTTCTGTACCATCCATTGCATTAGAAATAGCACATTTCTTGAATGAGTACTGCACCATATTGGCTCAACAACAACAACAACAACAACAACCTTTATTTATGTGTCAAATCTAAAATAGCAGTTATACAACCACTAACTGGGGACACTAAATACTACCTAAAAATTTGAGAAATTTAAAAATAAAACAATATATATGTACAATTTAAAATCTAACCTAAGTCTTACATAAAAGGCAGTTTTCACATTTACTATCAGTCAATTTAGAAACAAGGTCTATTCTACGTATGTTACATTTAAAAGATGATATGGATGTCAGTTCTCTTACATTTCTTGGTACAATTGCCCATATTTTGGGTCCCATATATCTAAGCGAATGTTTTCCAAAAGTGACAGTATTAAATCTAGGTATACCAAAATCATTATTACGCAGTGTGTACCTAAGTTGTGGAATTTGAAAAAGGCTACATATGTAATTAGGAGATAAATTGTTCTTTACCTTATACATAAGAATGGCTATATCCTGTAGTCTTCTGTTCTGCAGTGTACTTAGGTTAGCCATGTCTAATAATTTATCATAACTACTCCCCTTATCACAGTAAACTGCCCTAAGTGCCCTTTCTTGAATACGTTCCAATTTTCTAGTATCACTCGCCCTACAAAAATGCCAGACAAGATGGCTGTATGTTAAATACGGAAGAATGGCTGCCTTAAACAACTTCAGCTTGGTGTCTGTTGGTATCATATTCCTGAGCCTCATCAGGACTCCAACACGCTGGCTACTCCTCTTACAAATGTTAGCAATGTGTTCATCAAATTGAAGCCTATTGTCTATATATACCCCAAGAAGTTTTAAACACTTGGTAGATTTAACTTCATTGTCATCAATTATAATACTATCCATATCATTATTTTTATTCCCAAGTGTCATTGTCTGATACTTGTCATAGTTCCCTTTTAAGAAATTCGATCTATACCATCTGGAGGCTAATTCGGCACTTGCTATTAACTTATCATGCACCTCAGTAACATTACTGCCTGCAGCATGGAACTGGTGGTCGTCTGCATACATATTGATATTAGAATTAGAATTTACACTGTATGTCAGATCATTTTGGAACATGTTCCATATCAATGGTCCAAATGCGGAGCCCTGTGGACATCCCCTTGACCCCCTCTCCCACTCACTCACTGTGGATCCCAACTTCACCCTATTGTACCGATCAGTGAAGTAGGAGTCCAACAATTTTAGACTGTTCCCCCGAATACCATAAGCCTTTAATTTAGCAAGTGTGAGTGGATAGTAGAGGGAATCAAAGGCTTTACTCATGTCCGTAGAAAGAACACCTACCACTTTATGTTCATCTAAAGATATCTTCCAATTCTCTGTCATAGCCAGTAGAGCTGTTTCGCAGCTATGATTTTTCCTGTAGGCTGTCAGTTTATCACATAATTTATCATTGAAACTATAATTAAGCTGTTTACTAAGTAACTGTTCAAAAATCTTATTTATAGTAACTTGTACAGTTATGGGCCTATAGTTCTTTTTCTCATGGGGGTCCTCTTTCTTAAATACTGGTGTCCACTCTCCTTTCTTCCACACCGCAGGCCACTCACCCAATGTTATACATGAATTGTATACTGCTGTCAGAGGCCCTGATAGTTCTCTAGCACCCAGCTTAAATGCTTTGGGGGGGACACCATCCCAACCAGTACTCTTTCTGGGGTTAATACTTTCCAGTGCGGTCTCCACCTCAAGTATCTCCAGATTCCGAAACTGGAAGTCTTGATGGCCTATCATATTCTCTGTGATATTCCGAACACTTGAATGAGTCACAAAAGAAGAGTCAGTAATGCCTTCTGTGTCACCAATACCATCAGCAATGGTAGAAAAATAGAATGGTCTCTGAAGATTCTATATCTTAAAAATTAGGTTCAAATTGGTGTTTGTAAGACCAGTTCATTTAATTTACACCTTGATGCTAAAATATCCTTTAGCCAAAAATCACACAAGAATTAAACTACTTCTAACTGTCATCTGGAGAAGCTCTAGTATTTCATTAATATCAATGTAATAAAAACAACTAAACCCTCTTTAAAATTTACATCCAAGACTGATTACTACATGTATCTTGGTCTGAAAAATTTGATTTTTTGATATTACCAAGTGAAGTGTTTGAATAATGATGGATAACAAACTGTGAGGTCAATATCATCTATTTTCACAGACACTGTCCATTTATTATTTCTGATCAGTAAATATTATATTATAGAAACTAAAAAAAATGGTTATTTCTGATAACATACAAAAAGTACATTTCACAAACATACATAAAACTTTATTTCATCTCAAATTAAGAGTAGCCAAAGGTAGGCTTAAGTATCTCTAAAAAAAGAAAGAAAAAAAAGAATTTTAATCCTAAAATAAATGAATTTCTATTTACATTAACTAGAAATAATATGAGAATATTATTATCATTATTATTAGCTCATCATATGATAAAATCGATTGTGACAAATTGCGGAAATACAATTGTTTGAGGACGAAATAGCTCTTAAGTTATCCAGTAGCGCATTCCAGTACTTAGCAGCTGTAGAACTGAAAGAGTTTTATGCCATAAGTAGTAGTAACAGGTCTAAAAAGAGTAAGAATATTGGTTCCTCTCGTAGAGTAGTCAACAGATCTCAGAGTAAACAATCCTTTCATGTTTATGTTTCTCTGGTTGTAGGCTTGTTATTCAAATATTCTTTTGCCAAGGCCTTCCCCAGCAAGTACAGTCCAAATTGACTCAAGCAGTGTCTCAATGGCATCAGGTATTAGTTTCACTTCAAGATGAGAATGCAGATATTAAATGCATGAGACTGTTCACCTATACCAGACAACATTGTATTATGAGACACAAAAACAGCCACAAAAAAACCTCTGGCCCACAGGGTAAACAAATAAGTAGAACATCTTGTGAATTAAGTATTTCATTTCATACCTTGCTTTGAGCAAGTTTTTGATGATTTAAACCTTGTGCTCTCTACTTTAAAAATTTTGAAATTAGATTGGCTCACTGCATATATCAATGCATTCAGTATTATGATAATCCATCTCCCCCTCTGGGTATTTAATGACTTATAAGCAGCTCTTTGATTGGATCATTGCCTTATGTTTATCATCATCTCTAGTTTGAATGTTTGTTTTTATTTGTACTGCCTGTTGTTTTCTGAAAATCAATGATATTTCAACTTTTCTTTACTCTTTTAATCTTTTTTTTTCCACTTATTAAGTGAGATCTACTCTCATTACTTTTGCAAATACTGGCAAGGTGATTTGATGGGCGGGAGAATGCATAGAAGTCCATGCACATACGATTATCATACGCATATGATTCCACTTTTCCCTTCTTTATGTAAAGTATCTTAGTTATAATTTACTGTGTCATAAGGTTTGATTAGCAAATGAAATTCTCTTTGTCCCAGGAAAAAGGAAGGGGAGAGAGTCACCTAGCTGTAGTAACCAGGGTCACAAACATCCCAAAGTTACGTCTGTGGATATGACAGGTTATTTCAAGTTTTCAATTGACTATTTATGAATCCTAGCACTATGTATGGTTATAATTATAGTGTTGAGAAAAGGGTGATCCATCAGAAACATTGTAGAAGAGAATTTTATTCATTATTGTAAACGATTTGAATTAATTTAAGGAGAATATTGCAATGCTTATAAAAGAACTTAGTTACATTGCAGTGTGTTGATGTGAGGTTGATCTGGGGGCAGATCCAGGGGTGGTTTGGGAGGTTCAGTAAAACCCCCTAAATTTTCCCTCAAAATGCTGGAAATCATGTTTCTGAAGATGTCATTTTCAAATCTCCTAGGAGAACATGCTCTTGGACAATTCTCCAAACCCCCCTTGACCAATCCCGGATCTGCCCCAGCTGATGCAGATAAAAGTTAACTCTGATGCTACTTGCTCCTAAAGCTGATGTTGAGCATAGTCTTTTTTAACAGAAAAGTCACATAGAAGGTTATGGGTGGGGTATGTGTGTGATTGTTTATTAGTATGGCATTATTTTCCATGATGCAATAATTGGTAGTTGTGCAGGACATAGGATTTAATTCATTCTCCAAACAGTGATGCTTCATTGGAGCATACAAAATGTGTCAATGGCTTTGGCCATGGGCTGGGTTATCTTAAATTCTATGGTTGTTAATTGTTACCAGGGCCACTTGCTTAAAATTGAACAATACGATTGAATACATATGATCCTCGCAGTAGATATATGAACTTCATATATTTCATTGTATCTCAATACGATTAAAGGAAACAAACCTTGAATTTCCTCTAAATTCTTTCCCATCTTTGCTTGCTTTGGTCTTGAAACTGATTGGTGCAATTGAACTAAGTTGGAATTCTTGTTTGTTTCCTATCGTGTGATCTGTCTATTTGTTTTACAAAAATTGTGTTAAAAAAATTATCTTTGTAGTAAAAAAAGGCACACCAACAAATGAAGAATTGGAGAAATTGGGAAACGAAATTGGTGAACTTTGGATAAAACTTGGGCGTCGTCTGGGGGTCAAGGAGCCCAAATTACAGGATATAAACCAAAGAAATGAGCAGCTGTGTGAGAGAGGATACTACATGTTAATGGCCTGGAAACAAGAAAATGGTTCAGTTGCAACCTACCAAATTTTGAATGCTGCATTACAGCATGAACTCGTACAGCGCAAAGACTTAGCGGAACAAATTTGTTACAATCACGGTAATATTTTCAACAATTTTGATTACACTGATAGAGTTATTGTATGTTTATGTTGACTAGATTCCATGATAGTTTAGCGGACGCTGACCAAAGTTTCGGTTTTGTCTCCCTGTGTGCTTTAAAGCTACTATGTACGAAGCAGACGTCATATTAAGGGGACTCAATTCATAACCGCAGTCAATTCTTTACACCCGGATCTAAAATATACCTGGGAAATTTCTGACAATTCTTTATCCTTTTTAGACATTAAAGTTTCAATTGAAGGCAACGGTTTATGCACTAGTGTGTCACTAGGGTGTATTACAAACCTACAGACTCACATAGTTACTTCTTGTATTCATCTTCGCATCCATCTTATGTTAAGAATTCTATTCCTTTTTCTCAGTTTCTAAGACTTCGTCATTTATGTAGTGATGACTCTGATTTTTTTCTTCCACAAATCAGAGTAAATGAGCCAGTTTTTCGAAAAGCGTGGTTACCCTGAGACTGTCGTTCAAGCGGGTCATCTCCGCGCCCAACTTATTGATCGACAGTCAGCACTACAAACGTCACAGAAGGAAAATTCTGACCGCATTCCATTCGCTCTCACATTTCACCCTCACAACCACTCAGTTAAATCCATTATTCTTAAAACATTCAAATTACTTCAAAACGATCCAGAGACTAGTATTATCTTTTCCCAAACTCCACGCATTTCATTCAAACGCGACAAAAACAAAGGCAATTTTTTGGTGAGAAGTTCATTCCAAATTAATGACCAGCCCGGCACTCTAAATGCACTTGTGCACGATGCAAAACTTGTCCTTTCATTCACAACGCAGAGAAAATATCGGGACCCAAACAATCCAATAAGACAACTGATCACTTCACGTGTACCTTCGCCAACGGTAATCTATATCATAACTTGCAATTATTGCAATAAGATGTACATCGGCGAAACATGAAGACGACTATGTGACCGACTCCGAGAATTGACCCCAGTTTCGTATGCTTTTAGCATGAAATGAAATGTCTTCGTGTACTTATTGACTAAGTGGGAGGGCTTGACGGGAAAATACTTGGCTCTCGGTCATGACGTGCCTCATGACCGAGAGCCAAATATTTTACCGTCTGCCCGAGCAAACTCAGTCAATAAGCATTTTATTACAGGGCTGCAAATAAAGGCCGGTCAACGGACAATGCCCAGTCAGTATTGATCGGACATTGGATTACCGGACATGTCGTCCGGTCTTTTACCGACTCGTTAAAAATTTTAATTTTTAACTATTTGATAATCACGAGAGACAACATTCATGTTTCCGAAAGAAAAAAAAATCAATATAATGCTAGAAAAGTCGAGAAGTTCCCGGTAGTTGCAAATATTTCAAAATGTTATCAAGTCCCGTCGCGACCGAAAATCATCGTGTCTTCCGTTATTTTGTTCACTTAAGTGTACCCAATAGGTAGAGGGTTTTCCCTTGGGCTAGATACTATTGACTCTTAAATAAAGTGATTGATTGGTTGACTGAATGATCAAAAAGCACCCTCACCAAGAATAATCGCCCGGCACCGAGAATACTCCACGTAGCATTTTCTTCCGGCAAACCCTGTAAAACATGCTTGGCTACCAAGCTTTCTGGTGATTTTATCACTCGATGCAACTCAAAAATGGAGCGTATTACACAAAAACTGGAAGAATAGGATTGTCTTTAACGGATTCTGAAGAGAAGAAAGACAGCGAGCGAGGCAATTGTATTTGAAATAAGACGCCATGCATATAATAAATGCAGTGCTGCCGGTTATATTTTAGTTAACTTATTTTTCAAATTAATTAAGAGATCGATTGAATCCTTCGGGTTTCATATTATTCTACACATATTATTTTAAGTTCAGTTGTAGAAATGATGTGGTGATTTCCAAAGTGTAATATTTAATCATAAGTGATTTTTGCCACATGTTTCAGAAAAACTTGATGACCTGGGTAAGAAGATCGACGGAGTGCCGGATGCGGGGAGAGAGAAAGGTTTGTTTCAAAAATTGGACGACGCCAACTTTTTCTCGCGAGCCTCTCCCTTTCTTCCTATTAAACTTTTCCTCTTAAGGCTTATAATCTACTTATTAGTTACTCGGGAGCCAACTTGACCAGCTTCAGTCTAGGTTTGTTTTCCAGTCTCAGTGTCCACCAAATTTAAACTGGTAAATTGTTTTGTTTTGTTTTATCTATGTATTTACATTTTTAGAAAAAGTAATTAAATGATGTTGGTGGTATGTGCAGGGTTAGGTTTAGAGTTAAATTTCTCATTTTTCGATGGTGACATTTTTGATGTACGGATCTCATTTGGTATCCCAGGAAGTAAGCTGGAAAGTGAGCTGCCTGAAGCACCAGCGTATGTTCACGGTCATACGATGGAGGTCGATAGCATTGTAAAAATTCTCACAGATGATAGCACCAAAGACGTGGCAGTAGTCTTAGTCAGCGGAATCCCAGGGATTGGGAAGTCTACTGTTTCCCTTCAAGCCGGCCATAAGCTAAAAGATGATTTCGGTAGAATCGTTAAATTTTGCTCTTTAAGAGACCTGCATCCCACCAAAAATGGGCGTGACACCAAGGATGATGAAGGAGAAAGGGTGTTGAGGGAGATTTTAAGCAAGTGTCAACCAGATCCTCTACCGGCCAAAGAATATCCCAAAGATGCTTTGCTCATCTGGTGTAGGCAGCTTGAGGAAGACCTGGTTCTTGTGCTCGACAATGCAGAAGATGCCCTAGAGGACAGTTTTAAAGATTCGTTTATGGGATTGTTAACCGAAATGAGAACGTGTTCAAAGAAAAAAATCAAATTCATAATTACTTCAAGACGTACAGACATTGAGAGCACCGGACCAAATTTAACTGTTAAGAAAGTCACAGTAGAGCCTTTGAGTGAAGAGGATAGCATTCAAGTCTTAAAGGGAGTTGGACGTTTGCAAATGGGCTCTGATGTCTCAGGAGAGGATTTGATTAGGGTAGCAAAGCTGTGCGAGTACATTCCGTTGGCGCTTGGTCTAGCAAGCTCACTTCTTTCTTCAGATTCCGAGTACTCTGTCGACGAGTTAACAGTCGATCTAGAAAAGCACCCTACGCGCACACTTGAGTGTGAAGCTATAATGGAAATTGCCTTTGAGAAATTAAGCGAACCTTTGCAGCATTCATTAATTCGTCTGTCTGTTTTTGGCCGATCTTTTGAAAAAAAGGCAGCAAAGGCACTACTTGGCGACCATTGCGCCGAACACTTAATGAAGTTAAAGAAAAGATGCTTTATTCAAAAACACGGCGATCGATACCTCCTTCACTTGCTTATCAGAAGATACGCTAGATCGATAGGAGCAGAGAAATTTCCAGATATTTTGAATCATGGCCAACAAACATTTAATGAGCACTTTCTGGCTATGATTTCGGAAAACGCAGAGATGTACATGCGTAAAGATAAATGTAAAGCCTCGTTTGATCTTTTTAATGAAGAAAGGCTTAACTATGAAACCCTGCTTAGAGATGTCAGTGATGAGAAGGTACAGAACTGTAAAGCTCTGCGAGATGCTGTAAGTGGCTGCAGGAAAGTCGCACCTTACGTAGAATTCTGCGTTCCGGTCAAATTGTACGAAGATTTTTTGAACGGGCTCTTACGTTATGTTCGAATGCAAAATGAAGCGGTGCACGAAGTGGAAATTTTGTGCCTCCTGAATTATGAAGGAAGGAAACGATGTTGTGCCAAAATGCGTGCAAAAGGCTCGATGGACTTAGCTTCTAAGCTATTCGAAGAAAATCGGCCAGCTTTCAAAAAAAGCGTCCCGTCAGAGGTGACTTATCGCCGCCATTATGGCAGATATCTATCACAGGATTGTGGCCAAAGAAATGAAGCACAAGATCATTTCAAAAAAGCACTAAGTATTTGCGAATCGTATGAAAAAGAAACTTCTGAGGTGATCTCTGACAAGGCGGCAATTCTTGCACAATTGGGACATATTGCAAACTACCAAGGAAGGCTGAATGAGGCTCGTAAATGCTATTCACAAGCTCTGAAGTTTCGTCAAGACCATTATGGAGATCATATTTTAACTGCATTCATCCACAAGATTGTGGCAGATAATTATCTGTACCTTAAGGATCTACCTTTGGCTATGGAAAACTACATGGAAGCAATTGACATCATGAAAAGTTTGAATAGAGAAGAGCACAAAGAGGCAATACCCACGTACAAGAATATGGGAATCTGCTTTGAGAGGAGTAAAAGGTTTGACGAATCTCGGAAAACGTACGAGAAAGGAAGTGAGGTTGCTGACAACACTATCGAAGGAAACCATAAATGGAAGGTTGAGATTAAAACGCGCTTGGCGTTGCTTCTTCACTCAGAATACCCAGACGACGTTGATACGGCTGTTGGAATTGCCAAGGATGTTCTTGAAATGGGACGGCAACTTGGACTGAAGGACAAGGACTGGCCAGAAAAGAAAGCAATTGAAAAGATTTCTCAAACACAGTAGACATTTTGGAGAACTTCTGTTTTGAAGGACAAAAATTTTAGTTTCGATGCGTGAAAAGCGTTTAGAACTTTTTACAGAAGTATTTAATTTTGCCAACACCAATTGCTTTGTAAAGGTTGACTGAAAATTTTCACTACCTTGGTATAGCTACACATGTAACTGCTATTAACTATTTTCCTTTTTGAATATTGGATGTCGACATGATTTCAGCGGTAGCTTGTGTAAATAATGCGGGAACTGTTTCAGATATTCTTGGTTCAAGGTAATTCTTGTTCTAGTTTATTTTTTATCTATATCTGGATACGAATGTTCCCTCAACTGTGGGTGTATTTTTTAGCTAATCTCGCACACTGAAACTACCTCAACTCTTGGAGATAAGTGTTAAAAACGTTCGTTGGTATGCATTTCCCTTCTCAGATTTTAGTCAGCCTCATTCCCACGGTCTCTACCCTTCTTCTGCTCTCTCTTGTTCTCAGGAGAGGTCAGAAGGGAAGTCCTGGCAACAATTTTTGTTTGTGACAATGGAGGCTCGGATTCAGTTTTTTATGGCAAGTTATACCTTACTATCAAACCAGATGTGTATGTGGTTTTATAGCTTATAGATCAAATAAAGGTTTTGTACTAAGACATTTGGAACGTAAGCGTCGTTATTACATCTCCGCAGAATGAATAATCCTTTACACCCTAAGATCATTATTCATATTCTCCATACTGTTCTATACACATTTCACAAGGTGCTGACAAGGAGAATTTGGTCAACATTCCAGAGACTTTTTAGTTGGTGATCATTTCCTTTATTCTCCTGACCTAAATATCCGATTCAAGGCTGATATTGTAAGGAGAATTTAGATGCTAGTCTCTCTTCGGGTTTAAAGGGATAAGTGGTGTCTATTTTTTACTGAAATCAGTCAGCATCGCTGAATTTTTACCGTGGATCAAAAAGAAGCGAGCGGAAAAACAGTTTTGTTTAGAAGTCACCGGTCAAATCTTTTTCTGTTCGTTCATGTGTCCGTAAAAGTGTCCAAAATCTTGCAATTTTGAAGGATCTTTGCGTGCGTCTGTGATTCTACAAGTTGTTCCAACACTAAATTCCCAAAGGAACATCATGAGAATTGTACAGCAGACAGCAAAGAGATTCTCTTACTATGAGATCCTGGCAGTGCAAGGGTTGAAGTACCATAGAGTCAATCAGGGCTCGGAAAAAGTTTGAATTCCAACTTGGTTATGCCTGAGTCATTTTTTCATGAGTTTGAGCTAACTGAATTATTGATAGGAAGGAGAAAAGATGGAAACTATTTAAACACCAAGATGAGATAGTATCAAGCCTAAAACTGCAGGATATTGGAAGACAAAAGCATTACACCCAGGATGTTTAACACTCAACTTTTGATACAGACTAAACCATCATAATTGCCAACTAATACCCCATTCACACCAAAGCCTAAACATGCTTTAAAGCTGTTTTAAAGATGGTTTAACACAACAGCTCCATAGAAGCTGCTCAAATCAATATTTGGTTGACTTTAAATGTGGCACATTGAAAGTACAATTTAGCAATTGCTTGAATCTTGTAGAAAAGTTAGTTTTTCAGTTCTCTGCTTCTGATTTTTATTCAGTTAAACCTGGTTTAACTAAACAAGTTTTCTGGTGTGAATGGGGTATCATCCTCGGAGACCCAGGGACTGGGTCGATTTCAAGTTAGGGCATGAAGAGCCCCTGGGGACATTGTCTTACAAGACTAGTTCCAAACGGTCGCAGTCGTCCTGCCATCTGATTGGTGCCAGAAAATCTTTGTGTTTTTCTGCCCAATCAGAGTGAAGTGTGCTTTAGAGTCCTTTCGTGTGTTTTAACATATACTAGTAGCTCAGTTGCTCGCTTTGTTTGTTGGACCGTGCGACGGAGATTTACTAGAGGTGAAAAGTTTCAGTCTCAGCGCACAATGTGATAGGTATACTAATTACGAAGCCACGAGCACATAATTAAAAACAGGAAAAGCTCAAAATAATCTTTATTTTAACGAAATCTAGTTTCTTGTCATTTCATTTATTAATGTATCAATATCAGGATACGAATCCTGGTGTAGAAGGATTTGAAGTAAAGATTCGATTATTTTTTTCTTGAAACTATATTTTGGGAGCTGTCTCAAAACATTAGAAATACAGATCCAAATTTTTGCGACGATAGAGAAAAAAGAATTCTTATCGCGATTTAGCCGAGAGTAGTTTATATAGAAGTTACCAGCGGGAGAAGATCGTGTAATGGGTCTAAAGAGAGCAGAAATGTTAGATGGCACGACTTTGTTATAGACATCATGCATTAAGATAGAGCAATTTTTAAAGTAGATTAAAGGTAAAGGCAGAATATTGGTAGAGATAAAAAGTGGAACAGCGTGAACATTAAACTCAGAGAAATTCATCAAGCGGACTACCCGTTTTTGTGGAGTATCTTGTTTGGGTGCGTTTTGGCTGCCTATCCCCGGGCAGTAAGGCCATAGGAGATATATGGAAGAATGAGAGATCTTTATATATTAAGCAAAGTCATGAAGGACATGAAATGCCTTAATCTAGATATTATACCTATATGATTACTGATCTTTGACGCGATGTGGCTGATATGATATTTCCAACAGAGATTACTATCCATTAGTACCCCTAAGTACTTAACATAGGATTTACGTTCTATACTTTTCAGTCTATTGCTTTGGTTGTCATTTATATTAAGTTTAACTTCACTAAGCGTTTTTGGTATGGATGAAAGATAACAAAATTAGTTTTTTTTATAGTTAAGGAGAGTTTATTAGCGCTTAGCCAGTCACAGACATTAAGTAGCTCCACATTTACAACAGATTCAAGTGATTTTAAGTTCTTATCAGCATATAACAGATTTGTATCATCAGCGAATAGGTAGAATCCTAGTTTGTTTGAAGCCTTGTAAATATCATTAATATAAATCAGAAACAATAAAGGACCCAAAACAGAATCCTGTGGCACTCCACAAGAGGTTTTTTCTTTTTTAGAAATGTAGGCACCGACCTGAGTGGTTTGGGTTCTTCCATTTAAGTATTTAAGTATTTAAGTACGAACTCCGTAATGAGCCAGCTTTCGTAATAAGATATATTATTACACGACTCGGGCGGTCAGAGGGCCAATAACTAAAATCAACCAATCAAAATGCTCTATTGCCGGTCCAATATTCTCTAAGTATTGGACCGGGCACTTTCCCGAATGGTCCCGAATGACACCGCACTTGTTTCCCTTTGAACTTCAGTCGTATAATAGATCTCTTATTGACCAAGCTTGCTCGGGACCGTACTGGAAGACCGTACTGGAAGAATATCGGCCCTCGGTCTTTTTTGTACGGACCTCGCTGCGCTCGGTTCGTACTGTCAAGACCTTGGGCCAATATTCTCCCAGTACGGCCCTCGCGCTTGGTTAATAAGACATATATGATCGATAGTATCGAATGCCTTTTGCAGATCAATAAAGACCCCACACGAAAACATGCCCTTGACCACATTGAGTTGAATTCTATTGACAATGTCTAAGATGGCATGTTCCGTTGAGCATCTTTCATATTGATAATTCATATTGATAATTCAATATATTCATATTGATAATTGTGAAATATATGATTACGTTTGTTCATAAATTATTTTAGGCGATTATGCATAAGCTTTTCAATGATTCTATTTATAACTGAAACAAGAGAAATTGGCCGATAATTACTAGGGTCAGTTTCATCACTACCTTTAAAAACGGGGATAATTACAGCATGCTTCACTTTAGAGGGAAAGAAGCCTCTCTCAGTTGAAATATTTATGAGATTCGCAAGGGGTTTAGCTATAATATGTCGCGCACATTTCAACGGACGAGTGGGACAGGACCACAGTCCATGTGATTTGTCAGGTGGGGTCCTCAATAATTCAACTTCAACTTCGGTTGGAAGGACTGGTTCAAAAACAAAAGAGCCATTGAAATTAATTTTTGTTATATAATGCGAGAATAGTTTATTGCTATTTGGAATACCTGTTCCGAGTCTGGGCTCCGCAGAGGCAAAGTGATCGTTGAGAATGTTTGCGTGATCGACTGGATCTTGAGATTGTTGATCTTAACGCCTAATTGAACCAACTGACTTTTAGATTTCTTTTTCCTTTTGATAAAACTGTTAATGCCTTCCAACGTTCTTTTTGCATTGTTAATATTGTCTTCAAAATAACTGTGAAAATAAAGTTTCTTACTGAGACGAGTAAGGGTGAGAATTCTATTACGATAGAATTTATAAGCACCTTTGTTTCCCTGATTGAAAAGTGCATTTTTAATTTTAATAGATTTACGTAAGCTTTTGGTAATCCAAAGTTTTGACATATCTTTCATTTTAAGTTTGGAAATAGGTTTGAAAGGGGCATGTTTATTTACAACCTTGTGTAGCCTGGTATAGAGGACAGAGAATAATTTATCAACATTAGTTTCCCTCTCAGAAATTAAAGTCTGCCAATCAATCTGTGATAGGCCGTGTAATAAATTTTCCTCTGAAAAGTGTGAGTAATCACGAATAAAGCATATCATGTTATTATCAGAGACCGTGAGAGAACGCATAATACAAAATTGAGTGATCTGTAATATCCAAAATTACATTACCACTGATAATATCACCATCAAGTTTGTTTGTGAATATGTTATCAATTAAAGAGAAGAAGCTGTTATGCACACGAGTAGGCTTGTCAATCGTAGGGATCAAGTTGTAGCTCTGGAGGGAAAAAAAGAAAGCTTTGAGCGTATATTATATTTATATTTAATCACTTTCATCAGAGTGTGGTGAGGGTCGCACAACAGAGCGAGGCTCCAAATTAAGTGCGCCCAATATCCCACCCATCCCACCCCAGGGGAGGACATCCATCACACAGTAATCTCGTGTGTGGGAAATTAACGTCTCCTACCCCAACCCTGCAGGAGACGGGACCTCCATTTATTCGTCCCTATCCGAGAAGACTAGAATATCTAACCATTTCTTGATGTTATAGAAAGG